ATATAATATACATTAATATTTTTTTAAAATGTTGTTTGTTTTTGTTGTGTTTTTTTGGTTGTTTTTTTGTATGTGATTGCTTTCAATGCCAATCAAAACACGTGCAGAGTTAAATAAGTAAACAATATGTGCTGTTGCGTTGCCACTGAATTCCCCTTCAATATGTAATAACATGCGAGTTTTTAACTAAACTCACTATAAATGTGTGAACGTGTATTGGACAAAGCACCGGCGTCTGTGATGTTGTGCTAAGGCTCTATGGTGTCGCACACATGAGATCCTAGTTCAATTCTCGGGTTGGGAGCGAGAAAATTAGTATCGACTCTCACGTTTTCTCTACTTTAATGTTTTATCCCTCTCAACTCGAGTTGGCCCTGACATGCAGGGTCGAAAAAGCCTGTCTTCTAAATTATCTAAATCTTGTCGACGGGGACTTATAGACACTTACACTGTATAAAAAAGAACGTTGAAAATATTCACCCTAATCTGGGCACGTGGGTTGGGCACAAAACTCACCCTCAATGTGTGCGCGTGCGTTGAGCTTGTTAAGCGCGTCACCAGCACGACGACTCCCGGAGACGCTGAGAGCGTAAGTGGTCAGTGCCAGAGGAAACAGTTCGGTCATCTTGTCCAGCTGTACTTCTAGATTGGTCATCGCCTTGACCGTTGCGTTTCTCCACTTGTAGAAACGGCTGCAGTAGTTTTTGTCATGGCAGAGCTAACGAGGAGAATAAACAGAGAACTTTGACTTTTCTTAACATCCAGGTACGTGACTTGGAAAAAAAGAGAATCGTCTAATAAAGGTCAGAAAATATGCGATGACTTTTATACCTTATTCGGTTGTCTAGTGGTTAAGCTGCTCGACTCGAAATCTTGAGTTTGCGGTTTCGGGGTTTTGGGACTTAGGCTCGAGGTTGTATCCTTGGAAAAGCCTTTTTACACTTTTTTTTCACTTCACCCGAATATGAATTACCTGGCCATAGATGATTTCAGGTATTAATTAAACCATAATAATATGTTCACTTTGTCAAGTCTAGTTAGGTGTCCATAACCTTAGACCCTGTCTGTAGACGCCACGTGTCTATAACTGTCATTCTGTGATCTTGAATGGGATTGCCGTTATAGTCAGGTTCAAATGTATGTATTGGAAATGGCCCTTTGCACAGATGATTGCTCTGAACAGGTGGCTGTTAGAGCAGGGTCCGACTGTACTTTACTTTTCAATCGGAAGTAACACTTCCGAATTTTAAAAGCAGACAGCGAGGTGGGTAACCACTACACTTGACTACACACAGATGTATGTGAATGGTCTAATAAAGTTCGGTTGCATTGTTGACATAATAATTTTCATAGATATTGTTCTCGTTTTATTATTAGTATTAGTATTACCCTCACTGTCGTCAAAAAGAGAAGAATCGTTTTCCTTGCATGTCTCAACACCATCATTTCATCTACAGTGTTATTCTAAATCAAAATCAACAGCACACCTCCCCCCTTTTACCCCCCCCC